TAAAACCTTTGTGGACAGGTTGAGGAACGAAATAAGCAATGCTGTAACAACTCTGCTGCCAGCTTGTCATATAAATGTTTTCTCCACATGGCTTTAATTTATACAAAATGCGTATTGTAATTCAGAGCAGTGTGTGCATCAGTACTTAGTATTTCCTCTTTATAGTCATGCAGATGAACTGGGATATATATTGAAAATAACAATAATCTCACTTTTCTAGTGAGAATAATGTAGAGAGTTTGGAAGGATAACATTAGCAGTCATGGACTAGTGTTTGAAATATTGAAATATTGCTCATCTTTCGGTGACTTTCTTACCCAGAACATCTGACTGATTTTCTTAACAGAAAAAGAGTATGTTATTTTTGTTAGGCTTTTTTTTTTTTTCTTTATCATTTGATGAGGCCATGTATTTTTATCTCATATAGCAGCATTATTTGTAAAGGTTCTAGAATTTTCAGCTCACAGTCAGTGCCAAACTCTTCTTAGAAGAGACTTTTACATGAAAAAAATGTATTTAACTTACAGATCTTATTATGTCTAACTTGGTGGGTTTTTTTTTTTTCTAACTTGGTGTTGTATTTGATGTTTCTCATCAAATACAAAAACTAAAAACTTAACTAAGTCGTACTTTTAAGTAGTTAAGAAGATTATGCCAAGTTGAAAATAAATTATAGATCAAGCAAACTTATTAAAATAATGTCAACGTAGATGATGTTTCTTTGTTTTCTCTTTCAGAGTTTTTTGTCCATTTCAGTCATGGTAAAAAAAAAAGTAATATGATATTGTGAAGAAGGAAATATGAAACAAGTGGGATATTTGATCTTGTTCTTGTGAAACTAGTGCATGAGTCTGGGTAAATGGAGGTAGTTGCAATTTCTAGTGAGTTTTGAAGGTGTTTATCAGAGATTTTTAGTGAAATGTTTTTTCTTCCTGTATTTCATCCTTGAAAATAGTTGTTCACAAATGTCTGTACTGACAGAAAGCAATGACATGAATAAGGCATGATTGTGAAGTGAGAGGTTTCTTTCTCTGGTAAGATTAATCTTATTAAAGTCTAGTAGAGAGACCTGGTCAGATTTTTTTGAGTTGAATATCTGATTGTAACTCTATACATTCCATTTGAAAAATTGCAGTATACTTGTACTATATTTACATTGACTGAAAATGGAGTTGCAAATTCAACGAAAAAAATGATATTTTCAGTAGCCTTGAAACTTAGTCTCAAATTCTTTTATGAAAACAAAAAGCAAGGCTGAATATTCTTCACTGTACCCAAGACCAAGTTTAGTCAATGTATCAAAACACATAAAATTATTTGTGTAACATGGATTAGCACTGCACTTTGCCCTTGCCGTATCCTATGTACTACATGTTATGAGGGCTGCTCTGAAAGTAGTGCCTCCTATTTTGCAATGTCAGCCCACAACATCAGAAGCGGATGTTGGTGACATGGCATTAAGTATTGAACCTTCCTGCCAATATTCCTTTACATTTTGTTGTTGTGCAACAGATGGCAACAGAACAGTCTTACAAAATGGTGTTTTACATGGAAGTGCATATGAAGCAAAAGAGTGGAATTAAATTCCTCCATGTGGAGAAAATGGCACCTGTTGACATTCACTGATGCTTGCTGAGCATTTATGGAGACCAAATAGTGAATATGAACACAGTGAGGTGGTGGGTGGTGCATTTCAGAAGTGGTGACAGTGTGTCACTCCTGCTGTTTCATATTTTTATGACCACAGCATGCAGGCTCTTGTTCATCACTGGTGAAAATTCATAGCTAATGGTGATAACTATTTTGAAAAATAGTATTTTGTAGCTGAGAATATACTCTATTAAATAGTGTTATTGTGCTCTTTGTATCTGTTGTTGTTTCTGTGTAAACAATTAGGAGGCATTACTTTCAGAGCAGCCTTTGTGGCCCAGGCAAGCCAAAAGGTTGAACTCTCATGGACTAGTTGATTAATAATCCTTAAAATCTGAAGTCAACACTTTCTCTAGAAAGTGTCACAAGGTGACCATTGCTACGCAGGATCAAGGAAGTTCATTACGCAGTATGTAGAAGTAGAAATGAATCACCAAGAGCATCCGTATGGAAAGCCTACCCTTTGACTTCATGCTACAGATATAATAGGCTACATTCTGCTGTGATCATTCCATGAGCTGTTGAAAGACTACTTCAAGAACAGCAGCTTGATGCTAGGTCAGGAGCTGCAAATTTATGGAACATCAGCTCTCCAGAATAACAATGTAATTAATTCAGGAAGAAAGTAGTGTTTCAGCAGTGGTGAAGAGTTGCCCAGTTGTTAGCAGTTAGCAGTTGTTCACGTGTTTAGTGGTACTGTACTGACAGAAGTGTGTAGCTATTAGAGTTAGGCACCTATTATCATCAGATAGCCAAATGTATTATTTAACATAAACTAATCAATTAATTAGTTTTGTTCATTAGTAAATTAAATATTTTGTTATCAGAAAGGTTGCATATAATATATTTAGATGTAAATAATCTCAGCTATATTTACCCCATCAGACAGACACTAAGTGGTTTTTTTTGTTTGTTTTCTTTTGTTTTATCTGCTGGTTTGTTTGTTTGCTTGTTTATATGCTTTTTTTTTTTAATTTATTTAACATTGGGTCTTGACGTCTTTATGCTCTTCTCTATGTGTTATGGGAGGGAGCCAGGCAAATGCAGGGTGTCAGCAAGGAATATAGTACTTTTCTAGACAACGCGTGCCTGTTAAATTTCAATTAAAGGAAATTATGCTAAATCTGTCCTTTATTTTGTTTTTAATATTGATTTCTTTCTGATAATTTATTAAATACAGAACATGCATTTTGTATGACTTGCCTCATTTTCTTTTAAATGACTTGAAAAGATTTGGGCCAAAATGAACATTCTGTTCTGTATTTTAAGACCTATTGGCTGGAGTGCTCTATTTCTCCATAGAAAAAAGATTTTCTCTGAACAGTTATGGCACAACATGAAAGCTATCTCTGAAATGCCATGTCATGCAGGATCATGGCATTTCAGTGTCTGTGCCTTCTCACTCAGACAACTAGACAAAGACATGCAACTTTTAGTTGCAGTTTAAACTCTATTCGTAATGTACATGAGAGAAAAGGGAAGCTTTAATTCCTAAATGTGGAATTTTATGTACAGAAAATAATAGTAAGAAAAATTTAGAAAATCTTAATGATCTCTTTATGCCATTTAATTTTTTCCTCTGAAAAAAACTGTACATTCTGGGTATGGCTTAATTATTATCAGTCAAGTTTGCACAGTAAAGTCCATAAGGTGACTCAACCTTTAGCATGAATAAGAATAAACTGAGAAATGGCATTGCATCTTTATGGCCATTCTGTTACTGTTTTCCATGTAAACAGAATTTTATTCCTTTTTCTTCTTTCAAGTCATTTATATAAAATAATTATCGTCACAGCAGCTTAGGGGAAAAAAAAAAACTTAAAAAACTACAAGCAAAGTACAAACTTCATTTTTCCAGTAATATGTGACAATTCCAGTTTATACACAGTAGGATTTAGCATATAAAGTTTCCTATACTGAGCTATGTTTTTGTGATGCCTGAATTTATACCAATACAAGAACTGAATGTAGTTGGAAAGAAATTTGCTTTCATGAACGTAAACTTATGACTAGCTAAGTCCTCTGCAAATATCCACTAATGTTGCTTTACACTTTAATCAAAATGTGTGTCAAGCATAATCAACCATTTGTTGCCTTTTAGATCTTCCTGAACTTTTGCTGAAAGGTACTGTGGTCTTACTGATATCCTGAAGAACATGATTTTGGCATCAAAGGCGAATCAGTAGAAATACAGATTAAAAAAATTGTCAGGGTTTTTGAGAATAAAATGTTTTTATTGGTTTGGAGTTTCTTGCTAAAACTTTTCAAAATATCTTTCAAGTGTGTTTTGTATTCCATGAAATAAATATATCTCTAAAGTAAAAATCGTTTGAAAGATATACATTTTTTTCCTTTTTGTTTGTCTGCATTTGGGCCAAAGATCTGTTTTCTGTAGCACCTATGTCTTCTTTAACTTATGCATTAATTTCAGCTAAGTCTCTGTATTGACTGTCAGTTAAAAATAGCTTCCTTTAGTGTGTATAAGTACCCCAATGAATATTCAGAAAGTCATACTAATATTTTATAATATTAGGGGAAAAAACTTGGGTAGCATATGAGTATATCCTGAGTAAAAATAAGGAAGTTAGGGTGTGGTTCTTTCAAATGATGATTTGCTTTTCCATATATGCAAAATGTTTTTAATTTTGCATTCTGTTGCTGGAAATTCTGTAGAGTTCAGTCAAGTGCACGTGAATGTACATGCACACAGGTGCACACACACAGATTTCCTGATGTTATTATTTTTTTGTTAATGTCTCTGTACTTTGACTGACTTCCACTGCTACACATTTGAGTGTGTGTTTCCTGGGGGGTGTTCTTTTATGTTTAAAATTACACAAAATTTCCATCTGCTTTTATTTGATTTGTGGTTGCAAAGATCATGCTTGGCCCATGGAATCTTACACTGTGCCGAGAGGATGTGGAGTTCTGTCAGCCAGTGAAATATGTCTGGCTTTTTTTTTTTATTTTTCTTCAGCAGGTTTCATGTGCTTCTCTTCTTGTGTGGTCTCACTATTCTGAATATATTTAACAGAAATACTTGCCCTCTCTATCTTCTGTGTGCTGCCTTCTTTTAAGCAGCCTATGTATAAGAAATGTGAGATCCAAAAAAATTTCAGTCCTGACTGAAAACAAGGTAGTGTTACATAGAAAAGTACTTCAATAGTTGCACATTCCAAAATTTACAACAGCATTCTGCGTTCTGGTTATACAGAAGTACTAGTTGACGTGCAGTTAATAATATACATCCCTCTTTATATATATGTGTGTGTATATTTATATGTACATATGTAGTGTATATACATATGTAGTGTATATATATATAATTTTTTTATATTTCTTTTTTGCAGTCATTGCTACAGTGTACTGTTCAACAGCAAGAAGCAGCTACTGAAAAACAGTATATACTAGCAATTGAAAAACATTCTTACAAATGTCAAGAGCTTCTTGATGCTCAGGTATGTATATGCATTTACAAAAACTTTTATGATTGTCTTTCAGTTTCAGCTCTTTTTTTTTTTTTTTTTTTTTTTTTTTTGAAAGAAGTGTGCCTTTTGGAGCAAAGAGGATGACCAGTCTTTCATTTTGCATCCTCAATGTAAGAGTAAACACAGTTACTCAAAAATGCTAAGTGCATGATAACTCTGCATCTGTAGTGTTTGAAAGTATTTTATAACATTTTAATCTCCTTAGAACAGATTCAAGAACAGCAAAAGTATTGTTCCTATAATCTGTTACATCTCAAACCAAAAGGCAGGGACAGAAATGTTCAAGAAGTTCAAATTTATCTGGGGATCTAAGTGAGATAGGTGTTAACTGATGTTGTTTTTTTGTTGTTGTTTGTTTGTTTTCAGTAGAATCCAACAACATAGGAGTTACAGTGTACATAAGACATAATGCCCTGTTCACAGTTCAAATAATGTCTGCATTTAATGCAGCTTACTCTTGGATCTCTGAAGAGATTTTGTTCACAAACTTAAAAGTAACTTCATTCACCTGAGTCAAAGTTTGCCATCTTTATTTGTTATAGATGACTGGAATTTTGAAGCCTAATCAAGCAGACAAAAGGGCAGAGAGTGCTCTGTGATAGAACTACCAAACTTAATAAACTAGAATTTATTCTGACTATAAATTTGTTGAAAGAGTTCTGAAAAATGTTTACTGTATTTTTATTTGTTAATAGATCGGTTCTTAAATGTATATTTCTTTTACCATTTCCTTCTGTTCAAATGATTTTGTTCTAACACTTACTGAAGATTACAAAAATTACTAAGATTACTGAAATGATTACTTATGATTATACACCAAGTTGTTTACCATTCTATGTTATGGCATTGTGCATACATATTTATATGTAAAATTATGAGTATCCATATCACTTCAAAGAATTTGAAACACAACTTCTTTTTCTGGTTTCCTTTAATATTTTTGTCTTAAAAGCAATATTTGGCTTTCAAATTTTAAGGACACTTAATTCCCTCTTAAATTTTCTGCTGTTTTATTTCCAGTTCCATAAAGTCAAGGTTGTCTACCTTAGTGTATTGACTCTTATATTTTCTCCTAATTCTTTGCCTTAACATTCCCACCTCTCCTCCTTTAGTAAGGAAGAATGACTCTTGTTTGTTTTAAACCTGTCATTGTTTCAGTTTCTTTCAGTTTCAGATTTTAAAGCTGTCTTCTATCAGAATGCCTGTAATGGAGATGCATGTTGTATGTCTGTAGAAGTACTGATAACTGCTGCTGATACTTGCATACTATTGCATGTTTCAGTCTAGAGGAAAATATGAAAGGTCTAGTTATATCTCAGTTTCCTCCTAGACAAATTCATCTTCAATTCTGACATGCAAGATTTTTCAACATACTGACTAGCTGGAGCTACCGTTATCATCACCTTCTCCAGGAGGAGCCATCAGCTCCTCGACAAAAACATCCTTGGTTCTGAATCTTCTTTCAGCAGTCTTTTTCTCTGCACTCCTCTTCCAGTTCTGTATCCATAGGACTTCAATTTTAAGACCTTGCTAAAATTGTAAGAAATTCTTCAGGGTAAAATACTCCTGCTATTTTCTGTTGTGGTCCTTCTTAGGGGTGCCTTCTCCACATGTTCTAAAGTCAGAAAGTTCTTGTCTGTTTTCTAGTTTAGTTTCATTTGCTTGAAGTTTCTACATGTGTGTTACATAGTATTCTTTCTTCTCTCAGTCTGGAAAAGCCTCAGATTTTGGATATTAACATTTTCAAAACCTCCTGGGATAGTTTGCACTGTTGCTAAAAAATCTGCTTGAGTTAGTTTGATCAGTGCACTCTCCAACTGTACTAAACTGTCTTTCATTGAAGAGTCCATTTATATAGATGTTATGACTACCCATTGCTCTTGAAACAGCTACTGGAGATATGAGTTGTCAGCATCACTTACTATCCAATTACTGTCAACAGATGCTGGGTAGTTACGCATCTACCCTTTTTCTTAGTTCATTAATGTCAGTCACTTGTCTATAATGTCCTTTATCACACATTCCTTAGGTGTGGAGGTTAATGGTCCTCACTTTAAATCCCATGCTAGAATGTGTTGAAAGAAGCAGTTCCCTCAAATTCACTGATGAACACTGTGATGGGTGCTTCCTGAGGCACAGTCTCAAGTGTTGCTGTTTATTTTCCAAGGGAGTGTGCTCTCAGATCTACATATCAAGCAGCAAAGCAAGTATTTCCATGGCATTTTAAGATTTGTGATGGCATTGGTCAGCAAACAGGACAGTAAGAACTTATTTTTGCCAAAAAGCAATCTGGTTAGATAATAAACATTTAGGAAAACAGTGCATGTCAGTTGTATACATATAGTGTTTGAAGATTACAGAGGAAATGTCATTGGCAAGTGTCAACTTTAAGTGGGAAAATCACAAATTTCGTGTTTTTCTGAAGCATGCATTTGATGTTGCCTCCTGAAAATGAATGCCAGTTTTGATCTTTTGTTTGCACTGGTGTTTTACAAAAATGAAAATCTTTATTAGTCTTTCAACTTTATTTGAATCTGCCCACTATCTCAAGCTAATTAAAAGGTAATTTTTTTCAGTCTCTTTGCATTGTTAATTTAGCTGAGATACTGTCAGTCTCAACAAAAAGTCTTATTTGGATATTGCACTTGCTAATCCAAGTTTTCAGATCTTCCTTGGATTTGTGAAGTTTCAGATGAAAGCAGCTATTTAGTGTGATTTTTTTTCTCTCCAACTTTTGCTTACGTAACAGAATCTCCACTTCTTACTATGAATTAGTCATCTATTCTTGCCAATACTGTGTGATTTTTGCTATCCTCCATTAGTGAACATTTTGATTTTATGAAGGTTTTATTTTAGGAATCCATTTTGACTTATTTTTCCTGGTGCAATGGAGCAATTGTGAATAACTCGTACAGTGTACAAAATGAATTGAATCACAAAACCAGAAGAGCTAGTTAACACTTTTCATTCATGTTTTTACTACGGTCTCTTATCTCTGTATTCTTAGGGCAGTTTGGGGTCTATTTTAATAGTCTTTATTGCCACCTATGCACACTTTCTGAGAAAACCGTTTTTAATGTTAGACAACTGAATAGCTTCTTATTCTATTTATAAGCAGTAATACACAGTTGCAGCGAAAAATTTGAAGCTTGATACTGTTGTTTTGCATTAATAATAGCCTCCAGTGTGCATCAAGTTATTCAGATTATTCTGCACACTGCTGAATTGGGTATTAAGCTTAGTTGTTTTATTACCACTATTGTAGTTTTCCTTTGTATTGTATTGTTTTAACTTCTCTTTTTAGTAATGTTTTGCTGGTTTCTGAGATTCCTTTTAGAAACATTTTGCTGCTTTGTTAGCCACTTGGCCGACATACTGGCAAAAAAAGATACAGTTCAACCATGGAATAATAGGTTATAATTTGAGGAAGTGGAAATATGTAACAGATGTTGGAATTTTTAGACAGATTTTCCACCTTGCACTGCCAAATGCTCAGATGCCACTGATAGTAAGGTCAATGTAAGAAGCTAGTTATGATTACCAGATCTTGACATTTGATTTGCACTTAGTTTAGCAGAAGTGAAGAAAAGTATAAAAGAATATGCAGGTAAATGTAGCTAGCCATTTTACAGGAGCAGAAAACTATTATTTTTTTTATAAGACTGCCTTTTTCCTCAGGATAATGTTTTGAATTGGTAGCAATGGACGTGTTTTGCTAACTTTACGAAGTCCTTCTGTTATAGCTCTGTATTTTTGTCATCTCTCTCTCAAATGGAGATAAAGGGATTTTTCCCACAACGTGAGTTATTTCTTCTTACTGTTGGATTCCTTCATGAGACTGAAATAAAAGTAGTGGGCTAAGGTTTCTCGTTAAAATAGATGAACAAATTTTTGAGTCACTGAATTCTTAAAAAGCCCAGTCCATTAAATTCTGATTTCTTCAGTGCTTGCTAACTTTTTCTGTAGATGATTTTTCCCAGGTTTAGAGGGCCGGGGGTTGTTCCATGTCCTATGTAATGAAGGCAAAAAAGTTTTTGTTATATTGGAGATGAGAGATTAAGTCTTATTATCACTGTGGGTTTTTTTATAACTCCTCACTAGAATGCAGTTTCATGAGATGAAAAATTCTGTTAGAATTTTTTCATGAGAAAAACTGGTCATTCACTTGTAGTATAGCTTAGAAATACAGAAAATTATGCCTTAATATACTTAATATATTTTTCAGAATGATGTTATGAAAGGAAGATTCCAAGCATCATTTCATTACTGTGAGAATTTTTTTTCCACAAATTAGAAAAATATGTAAAGGTGCAGGTTTAGTTGACACGTTAGAAGGAAAGGGCACCATCCTGAGAAACCACAACAAACTCAAAAGGTGGGCCTGTATGAACCTAATGAGGTTCAGCATAACAAAGTGCAAGGTGCTGCACATGGGTCAGGGTAATCCCAAATACGTACAGACTGGGAGAAGAAATCCTTGAGAGTAGCTCTGCAGAGAAGGACTTGCGAGTCTTGGGGTCACTAAACATGAGCCAGCAGTGTGTGCTTACAGCTCTGAAGGCCAATGGTATCATGGGCTCCATCAGAAGAGGGGTGGCCAGCAGGGGCAGGGAGGGGATTGTACCTCTCTACTCTGTCTTCAGGAGGCCCCATCTGGAGTACTGCATCCAGGTTTTGGGCCCCCAGTACAGGAAAGATGTGAAGCTGTTGGAGAGTCCAGAGGAGGGCCACAAAGATGACCAGGGGACTGAAGCACCTTCCCTACGAAGACAGGCTGAAAAGAGCTGGGCTTGTTCAGCTTGGAGAAGAGAAAGCCGTGAGGAGTACTCACTGCAGCCTTCCAATATTGAAAAGGGGATTATAAAAAGGAGAGGTATCAACTTTTTACTCAGGCAGATAGTGATGGAACAGGGGGGAATGGCTTTAAGCTCAAGGAGGGAAGGTATAGACTGGATGTCAGGGGGAAGTTC